ATCAAAAGTTTAAGATAAGTCTGGGCTATACAGGGAGGTCCAAAAGTTCCATACATGGACAATGGAGTTAGACTGACTCTCAGTCTACCAATCAACAGAAAAGAAATAATTGAATCATAGATTATGGAAAAATCAAGCTGGTGTTGACCTAGAAGCTTGGTCCCTACTGGCTAACTTTCACACTGCTGCAAGATGCTGTGCACACACTTTGGTAGAGAAGTAATCAACAGCTTTATACAGCTGTGAATCCCATCGTTTGTAATAACAACTGACTTGGCAACATTTGCCCAGTGATGTAATAGTGGCACAGCTGTTATGGGAGTAACCGACCAATTTTTACTTGGTTTTGAAGCCTCTACTGCACAATGGATCATGTCTGGCACCATTAACTGGTCTAAAAACCAACAGCTGGCTAGGTCATAGTCCCTAGGAGGGAACCTAATACTATTATTTTGCTAAGTTGTCATAAACTGCTCCGAAGTTTTTATATGTATACCCATAGGTGAGTACATCTCTTAACCCTCATAAGAGAAGGTTCTTCTTGTAGTAGATAGCAATTAATGCAGGAAACCTGGGGCTGGAGAGATGGCTCAGGGATTAAAAGCACTGACTGCTCTTGCAGAGGACTCTGATTTGGATCCCAACACCCACATGGCAACTAACAACTGTCAAGAACTTCAGTTCCAGGTGATCCAATACCTTCTGACCTCAATAGGCATTGCACAACATGGGTGTACTTATATACATGCGGGCGATACACTCATACATATAAAATAAAATAACATAAAAATAAAATGAAATAAAATAAGTACAGAAAATCACAATTGGTAAACCTGTAGAGAACAAGAGACTATAGAATGCTCAACTATAAATGGAACATTTATATCACATGCCTACCCTTAAAAGCTCAGGGATCATCATGTAAGAGGGGATTGAAAGATTATAAAAGACAGAAGTAGTAGATGTCTAGAGGAGAACATTATTTGCTAGACCTGACAGGACTGTTGCACATATGTGCTCACAGCAGCTCTGACTGCATGAAGAAGATCAGGCCAAGACCAAGCCAGCCAAAATCCAAGCATGGATGGGGAAAGGCTCATGAAGTCCCACCCTAGCTGAGGAGGTATTCACGACTGGCTACTAGGGAATGGAGTGTCAATTTTCTACAGGGATGCAGCCCCTGAGAGGCCATCCAGGCTTCAGTAGATTATCTTATACCCATGCACATATTAGCACTAAGATAATTCAGTGGGGCAAACCAAGTTGGGAGTGAAAAGTGGTAAAGGGGAATAGGAGAGGAATTAGATGGGAGGAAATGGATTTGATCAAAACACATTATACACATGTATGAAACTAGCAAACAATAAAACATTAAATGAAAAATGTGTTAAAGATGAGTATATTATAGTATAACATGGAGAGGCAAGAATCACAAGTTGAATATTGTTTGGGGTGATAGACAAAACCCCTTCAGGATTTCAAACCTGTGTGATGTAATATAGTTTAAACTTTGAAATGATACCTCTGTAATCTGGGCGTACAGAAGATTGAGAGACCATTTTAGAAGCTGGAAAACTAGTTACAGAGGCATTTCAGCAGTTTAGGTGGAATTCCTGTTGGGCTAGAATGGGGTTTTAGTTGGACTGTTTGTGGCAAATGCTTTCATTCTGAACAGGTTATCAATACACTACTAACATGTGTTTCTAACACTTGAAAAGAAGCTTGAGAGAAAGATTCAAGGACAAGATAAATGTTTTTATTTTGAGCAAATTTGATTCTGGAGGCAACATTTCTTAAGATGATGAAAACTAAGCACTGCATGGTGAGAAGGTGGAAACCAAATGTGGTGTTCAGACAAGCTGAGTCCTAGCTGCCTGTTAGCCCAGCACAGCATTCATAAAGCAGCTGGATTCCTCTATGAAGTTGGTATCTACTCTGATTCTTGTACTCAGGAAGCAATTTTGGGAAACACAGAGTTCTTTCTTTTGCCTAGTGATAATAATTTCCTAACCAGAGCAAAAGTACATACTTTGTCTTGAGTTTCCTACAATATCTGAAGGAGCTAGTAAACACCTTTTTCTTATCTCTACACGGTATCATAATTAAGATTACCCTAATCACCTTAAACATAGCAACAAGGATTTTAATTATGAACCTAGCACTAATCTAAGCATTTTATTCTAGTTCTTGTTAAAGGCATATTTTATTTCAAATGTGTTTAACATATAGGCAAACTTCAGATGTCAGTTTTTTTTTATGGCTACATGGCTAAGAGGTATATGTCATTCCCAATTCTTAAGTTTTTAAAAAGCACTTGTAACCACACTATAGTTTCTTGCACAAACCGTTTTTATAGTCCCACATGGGGTTTTCTCCAAAAAAAAAAAAAAATCAAAATGAAGCAATATAGTAAGGAAAGCATTATTCTTTAAAGACAAAATTTGAGGCTGGAGAGATGGCTCAGCAGCTAAGAGCACTGGCTGATCTTGCAGAGGATCTGGGTTCGATTCTCAGCACCCACATGGCAGATAACAGCCATCTGTAACTCCAGTTCCAGGGGATCCGATGCCTTCTTCTGACTTTGTGGACACTGCATGACACCGGTGTACTTACATACATGCAGGCAATACACTCATACATATAAAAAAATAATAAATAAAATATTTTAAAGACAAAATACTTCCAAAAATTATTAATTTATCCATTTACAACTTAATCATTCCTATGACTAATAGTGTCTTTCCAAAGCATCAATTGCTGATGTCCACACACCCAAGCAGTGAGGCTTCTGCTCTCCTGTTGACTCTCTGACTTTCCCTGAGCTCTGTGTCTTATACTGTATACCTGACATGACTTTCATATTCTTCAACACTCTAACAGTAAGAAGTTTAGTAAGATTTATGATTTTTTACTAATCAGCGATATTCTTCTAATAACTAATTGCTTTGAAGATTGAAAAATCCCTCTGAAATTTTGGCAGTCATTCCAGGAAGCTGACCATGGGAGATTGGACTGGATTATGATGACATGGAATCACTCTAGAGGACAGGAACTGCAACTGGTAGCTTTTGCATGCTGCTTGTAGCGTTTAGTAGGTGGAATTTAGTTGTAGGTAGGACTAGCAGCTGAATAAGTTTAAACTATAATTATTCCAAGAGGGAGAAGTGGAGGAATATTTGCATAGTATTTAGAACACATTCTTAACCGAGAAGTTACATCACACCTGTTATTCTCATAAAGCCGAAACTTAAGCATCATCAGTGAATGGCGAAATCATGCTTTGACTCTGTATCTAGTCCTTTGAGCTGGCTGCTCCACTAGCAGTCTGAAGTAAACTTTCTTTGGCTCTAAACCTGGGCCGTGTAACCTCAACTTAGGTCCCTGCTCCATCTCCTTTAAATTTGTTGCCAAAATGTTACTACCAATGTTCTGGCTTTGGCCTGGCAGGCCATGTTTCAACTTTAGAAGCACTATTTATTTTCTGTGTGATGATGGAAAAGTTATATAATCCTTTGAAACTCAGAGGATATGTATATATGCACATATGTATATGTATATGAGATATTATAGCACTGTACATGATTGTTGAGATTATAAAAAGTAAAACATGTAATGTGGAAATCATGGAAATGATACTCACTAAGCATTATTGTTAAATATTGGCATGTAAATGAAATGTGCAATTAAGTTAAAATTCTTACAGAAAAATATGTTATTTGTTACAATAATTCAAAAGGTAGCTTTCAACATGTACTTATGAATATACAGGTTTCATATAGTATGAGAGTGAGTTTATGTGTGTAAATTCACTCACATTTGAGCTTTTACTAATGAACATATTCTCCTTCACATATTTGCTTGCATAAAGAAAGCTTTGGCTTCCAAATCAGAAATAGCTGTTCAAATTGGAAATACATACTAGAATGTGATATTTACTTTTTAATGTGACTTATTTCACCATGCATGGGGATTCACATGCTTCAAATAATCATCAAACTCAAGTGTTTACAGAAGACAATTTAAAAATACCAATCTAAGTAAAACCTCATGAAGAAATTATCTTTTTCCTTCTTTGTCTGATAAGGCTACTAAATAGCAAAAGAAAAACAAATACCCTCTAATCATGTCTTTTTTAAGAGAATCTGTAACAAATAGCTTAATGGAAATACAAGTGTACTGCACTGGCAGTGTTAACTGCTAATATTCCTCCTAACACCCTCCTGAAGACTCCATTGACCTCTTTGCTTGACAGGCTCTATCTCAGATAACTCTCCTTCTGAGGCTCTCCTTCATCATCCTGACCTTGACCTCCATTGGATTTCTTCTGGAGCAAAGGCAAGAAGTCAAGTTCTTTCATTATTTTCCTTTCATCAGTGTTAAGAATTTATCATGCTGCATAAGCTAGGCATGGTGGTACATGCCTTTAATCCCAGCACTTGAGAGGCAGAGGCAGGTGGATCTCTGTGAAATTGAGGTTTACATAGAGAGTTCCAGACCAGACCAGCTTCAGGGAGATTCTGTCTCAAAGAAACAAAAAACAAACAAAGAAAAAATAGAATTGTCCATGCTGCAACAAAATGTAGCTATAATATGGAAATTTATGGTATAGTTTTGAAAATTTCAGAGTTCAACTCTTCATATTTACAGTACTTAACTTTATCAGTTCTCCTTCAGCTATTTTTATTAATTGAAGCAGAAGATGCTGGACCTCTGAAGATAGTCTCACATACCTTAAACTCTAGAAATTTAGCTGTTTAGTATTGTATTTTTACACCATAGTTCAATATTTTAAACAAGGTGATAAAGACAGTTTCTTTTAAAAGGTACATTTTGTTTCTTAGTTTAAGGCTATGTTCAAAGTTATTCAGAAAGAAATGTGGCTAAATATGTTGCAATACTATCTATCAATCAATAGTTAATACTATTGCTATTTTAATCACAACAGAATCACATGAAGAATTTATTTAAAGCTAATGAATATTAATGTCATGTTATTTCAGACCCACTGCAGCTATTGTGGAAACGCTCCGCTGTTTGATGTTCCTAACCCTGTACAGGTTGGGGCACTTAAAGCCCCTGTTCCCTTCTTTATCATCTGTATTTGAGGTAAGACATTTGCTTTCCGTAGCTGAGCATTTAATTCATGCATTTAATGATGTTTCCTCTCTATGAGTTTGTGACTAGTAGTTATAGGAATTTCTTACCATTGCCTATTTCATGAGCTGCTATTTGTCTAACTTCCAGATAGATAATATTGCTGGGCAATAAGTTTCAGATACCTATATTTTTATTGACACCATTAAATCATAGAAATGTTGGGAAAATATTTTGTAGAGCATTTTAAGAAAACCAGGTTGAACAGTAGGTCCTCAAGAAGTGCTTGGTAGAAGTGGTTTTACAAGGAATTCTTGGCAAGGGTACCACAATCTGGATGTTTTTATAAAGCTTTGAAAGTGTTTCAGACATCTGAGTGTTTGTAAGGACACCCATGCCAGGCAAAGTGTTTTGTAGGTAATTTTTTCAATTACCTACAAAATTAAAAATTACATGTAACTAAAATAAGCTAAAGAGATGATTTAGCAGTAGAGAGCACTGACTGCTCTTGCAGAGGACTGGAGTTTGACTCTCAGCATCCACAAGCAGGCTAAGGACCATCCTTAGCTCCAGTACCTGGAGAATCTGATGCTCTCTTCTAACCTCTGTGGGCATTGCACGACATGGGTACACTTATATACGTGCAGGCAACACATTCATACACACGAAATAAAATAATAATTGCAGTCAATGAGATTTTTTTTAATAAAAAATATGTTATGATTTTTCATAATTAATAGATTCATCTTCCAAGATTACGTAGAATTGTTGGATATATTGCTTCAGATCTTAAACAATGGCAAACATTCTTCCTCTTATTACTTGTATTTTATTAGAATATTTTTTTGGAGACAGGGTCTCCCTATAGCCCCACCTGCTTTGGAACCCACTATGTAAACCAGGCTGGCCTCAAGCTCACAAAGGTCTGTCTGTCTCTGCTTCCTGCATTAGAATATTTTTTAAAGTTATGCTGGCTGGAGAGATGGCTCAGTGGTTAAGAGCACTGACTTCTCTTGCAGAGACCTGGGTTCCATTCCCAGCATCCACATGGCAGCTGACAACCATCAGTAACTCCAGTTCCAGGGGAATCTGATACTCTCTTATGATCTTATTGGGCGTTGCCTGACACAGGTGCCCTTACATACATGTAGACAATACACTCATGCACATAAAAATTTTAAAAATGTAGTTATATTAATAAGCTTTACTCCTGATCAATATGACAATATTACTAGAATATGCAAGATGTCAGTTTATTTAAGCCTGAAGCATTTACTAACATTTTTTGTTATCAAAAGACAGAGTCAGAGAAAATTTTTATTTTGTAATGATTAGAAATTTCATAAATTTCTTTGGAAGCAATTTGACAGTATATATCAAAATTGTAAGTACATATATCCTTTTGACTAAGCATTTCACCTGAATGAATTCATGCTATCGAAATGAAATCTTCATATATGTGTGAACTGGTGTGTATACAATGGTACTTATTACAACATCACTTGTAATAACATAAAACTGAGAACAACGTAATTGCCCCTCACATGTAATTCTTTAATGGTTATACCTCATTCATAAGTCTGTATCTAGAAAATAAAAACAGGAAACTTGTTAAGATAAATATGAAGCAATTACAATATTATAAACTCTGAGAAGTATACAACCATATGATAGAAATACTTTATTGAGTGTATTTTAATATACTTCAGATAATAAAGGACATCCTTATGCCTAGTTTCCTGTGGGAAGGTAAGGTGAATTATGTGGCTGGAAAACAGAAAAGGAGGATAATTGCTCATTAAATTAATTTTCTTCAGTACTTCAAAAGTTTCTGGGCCTTCAGAATATATTTTGTATTTTTAAATTTTTAAAATAATTTTTTATTATTTTTATTTTATGTGTATGTGTGTATTGCCTGTGTGTAGGTAAGTGTACTCATGTCATGCACTGCCCACAGAAGACAGAAGAGGCTGTCGGATCCCCTGGAACTGGGGTTATGGACAGTTGTTAGCTGCCATGTGGGTGCTGGGATTCAAACCCAGGTCTTCTGCAAGAACAACCAGTGTTCTTAACTGTAGAGCCATCTCTCCATGAATTTCAATAATAAATCATAAAGTCTTAATATCTACGTAGTGTATAAATATACTGTTTCTTGAGACTATAATCTAGAAGAAAGATGGAGAAAGATAAATTGACATTTTTTTCTTTTATGAATATTAATTATTTGAGAATTCCATAGAATTTTTTTATCATATTCAGCCACCTTCCCCAACTCTTCCCAGATTAACTTACTTCTCACCCAACTTTGCGTCCTCTTCTTTTTTCTTTTCTTTCAAGTCCATCTATCAAGTCCAATTTCTGTTTCCCAAACACTCTGGGTGGGAACTTGCCCTGGAGTAGTCACACCCTTAAGAAAACTGACTCTTCCTTTCCCAGTAGCTATCAAATGCCAATAGCTTCTCAGCTAGGGGCGGGATGCTCCCCTACCCCCATTTCCCCACTTTCCTGCTAGGATTTTTGTCTGATTTGAGCTTGTGCAGGTCTTGGGTATGCTTTCACAACTACTGTGAGTTCATGTGCACAACTGTCTTGCTTGAAAACATTGTTTCCTTGTAATCATCCATCACCCTTGGTACTTACAGTCTTTCCACCCCATCTTCCACAAAGTTTCCTGAGCTTAGGGGGAGGGCGTCCCATTTAGGGCTGAGGACTCCTCACTTTTCTTATTCTCTGCACACTGAGCAATTTAAATACCCATAGAGGTTAAGAGACTAGTAAGGGGGCAAGTGGGAAGAGTACAGTGCTGAAAAGAGGGAAAGCAGAGTGATGGAACAAAACCAATTAAATGGGGAGGGGATGGGAGATCAGAGCAGAAAAGGGAATATGGGGAGGAATAACTAACACTAAAGACCTTCTGAAAAGCTATAAGGAAACCTACTACTGTAAAAGCTTTTAATAGTATATGCATATACATATACAAAGAGAGTTTAAATAGAGTTTCCCGATAACATGGTATAGCACCCCAACTAGAGACCTTATCCTACAAAACAGAAAGCCCACTGCTTATATTGTTTTGAGCTATTGACCAACGGTGTTGCATAGACTCTGACACCCCTGCCCCCCCAAAAAAACCATTACTAGCAATTGCTACCCTCCAGAACTTGATGGTGAAACAGTTGCTGATGACAATGCATTCCTGAGTCATAGAACATGGGGAAATCAAGATCATACTGACCTAGGAGATTAATCCTTACTATCTAGTTTTCATAGTGCTAGAAGGTGCTGTGCATGCTAACAGAGAAGAAAAGTAATTACCATTCTTATCCAGCTGTGAACCCTGAGACCTACAATACCTGGCCTGGCAAGGTATACCTACTCTGATTGGAATTAAAGCCCACTCTATGAAATGGCACCATTGTCAAGGCTAAGAACCAGTGGATAGATAGATCATGGGCCCAAAGGGACAGCCTACTACTACTATTCTTCTAAATGTACATAGTATTATAAATACTTCTAATGACTTACTACAATACCCATATATTCATACATTTCTCAGCTCTCATCAGAGAAGCTTCTTCTTGCAATAGAAAGCAAGTAATACAAGTTAACATCTTCAGTGAACTCAGAAATATATGACTGAAGAGAATTTAAACAAGATTGCATTTTCACATTCCAAATAAAGGGACATATTCTATTTACAGACCAGTAAGGAAAAAATTCTACTTAATGAATCAACTTTTGTGTTGAAGGAGGTAGCTAATCTTACATGTTCCAGAAGGAAATAGAGAATGTGAGTGTTTTACACTAGCATGGTTTAATGTATATGAGGATATATGCTTACAAAATCTCATTGCATTTGGAGGGATGTTGGAGGGCAATGCCTTGTGTTCACCTTTTGAGTCTGCTAAATTACAGTAGTGACAGGCTGTTACTTTATTTATTTAGTTAATGTACTGGATAGCTTTTGTATCAACTTGACACACCTGGGTTGAGGAAGCCTCTATTGGGAAATTGACTCCATTGGGCTGGCTTGTGGCCATGTCTGTGAAGCATTTTCTTGATTTTGGGTGATGTGGGAGGGCCCAGTCCACTGTGGGCAGTGCTGCCCCTGGGCAGGTTTTCCTGTATTGTTTAAGAACAGACTGAGCACAGGCCAGGAGAGAAAACCAGTAAGCAGCTATCTGCCATGGTCTGTGCTCCAGGTTCCTGCCCTGAGTTCCTACCTTAGCTTCACTTGATAGTGGACTGTGCTTGTAAGCCAAATTAACCCTTCCTCCCAAAGTTGGTTTTGGTCAGTGCTTTTATCACAGCAATTGAAGACAAACTAGAATAATTAAGATGATATAAGGTATAAATGGTTACGATGTGAGCGTTTATGGCCCATTGTTTGAGTTCAATCCCTACCTTGAAAATTTCTTTGATGTGGATGGTTGGGCAGTTATTTGGTCAGGTAAATATCTGACTGCTCTGTTTTGTTTTCTGTCACTGTGATAAAACACTGACCAAAACCTAATTGAGGAGGAAAGGGTTTAATTCATCTCACAACTCCCAGATCAAAATCCATCACTGAGGGAAGTCAGGGCAGGAACCCAAGCAGGGCAGGAACCTGGAGGCAAGGAACGGAAGCAGAGACCATGGAGATGCTCTGCTTACTCGTTTGCTCATCTGGCCTGTGTTCAGCCTCCTTTCTCAAATGACTCAGGCCCACTGTCCCGGGGTGGCACTGCTCACAGTGAACTGGGCCCACCCACATCACTCAACAAGAAAATGCCCCCAGACATGCTCACAGGCCAATTTGATGGAGGAAATTCATGAGTTTAGATTCCCTCCTCACAGGCGTCTCTAGTCTGTATCATTTACCAAGTTGATCAAGAAACCAGTCAAAACATTGGCCTTCGCTTTCTCACATATAAATGGAAAAAGTAATGGTTATTATCTAATAGAAGTTTGATGACTAAATGAGATAATACATAAATACGAGGTTTATCACAGTGATTGATTCATAGTAAGTG